AACTTCGCATTGCAATCGTCTGGATGTTGGTTGAAGTCAATTTGGTAGCAAATAAAACAACTTCAATCTCTGATGATTGTGCTGCGCCTATACAACAAAATCAACAGGAGAATGTAGATTTCAAGCCACGTATTTAGTTCACGCATTATTGTTGAGCGCCCCTAATGTTCAGTGCAACGTAAATTTAGCTATTTTATGTGGTTGAAAATGGAAAAATAGGCAAAGTCGCCGCGACAGCCATAAACAAGAGAGTGCGCGCACCGCACACACACGACCTACGAGAGTGCGTACAAGAATAAAAACGCAAATAGAAATATTGTGAAACTCACATTTTTGTAATCCGCACTCAGTTTCTAAAAAAGTTTAAAATGCAAATAAATAAGGCAGTTGTGAGATAGAGGGCACCGTTCAGCAGGTTTAGAAACACACCTTGTACTTTTGTGGCCTAACAGGATGCTTGAGCCAGGCTTCAGCTGGGTTTAGCGTACGCCAAGCCGCTTTAAACTGCGAGGAGAACAGAAAGGCTTCACGACCTACTTCTATTAAGCATTGCTGTGCCTTAGCCTAACTCACGTGGTTGTAAACGAAAAAGAATTCGAGCAGAAGGGATCCTCGCGATCGTTCAGTGAGGTCGGCGTTTTTTAGAGCATACCAGGATCTCTCGTGGTTCCGAACCTACAAATAGGTTATGGCAAAGATCTAGAGGCTAGCGGTCTAAACAGACGCTATCAAAACGCTGAGTTTTGCGGTTACCCAATTCCCATTAAAAACTTTCTGATCGTCTCAGACTGAAGCTGTAGTCAGATAAATGGGAGCATTTATGATGCAAAAATGAGAATTCAGACACACCTTCATGAGCGGAATAGCCACTCGACCCAGAAATTCGCATTTTGATTTTTCATCGTCCTTGACTGTGATGTACAAGACAGAGTGAATATCTGTAACAGGGCTTGGATAGAGAACAGCTTATCAGCTATATCAAGAAAAAATTTTCTTCAAACTTCGATGCATGCAAAAAACTCACAAGACAAAGACTTTTTGCCATGTGGGGTTGAACGTTTTCCTAGCTGTGTGTGTTTGTGCTCGCATGTTAATTAGCTCCAGCAAACAGTAAGGGTCACACTTCCCGTTCGTCTCCTTATTCGCCAGGCCACTGGCCGCAATAACTAATTGCACGTGAGGGGAAAAAACTTCCGTGAGCAAATAATTAAACAAAAAGTTTGTACCTCCCACCAATTCTTCTTGTCAACTTCATAAAAAAACTTTAGGCGTTGTCGCTTATTGCTTAAAGTGAACGGAGAAAATGCTTACTCTGCGGTTTACACAATGACACAGATGTGCAAATACGGAAAGGGGCAGAGCGTCTGCTTAAAAAGTGAGTCGGCGGAGTGAAATTACGATGAGCTGCGTTCGAAGAAGCACGAGAGACGAATTGGAATGCACTCACCACTAACTCGG